GAACTACGTTCGCTTTCATATATGAGGGGTGGCAGCTTCTGGCATGTAATAGTACATTTTTTGACGCTGGTTTCTTATACCAAGAATAGCTGTTTGGCTCCATTTTCGATTCTAACTTTTGTATTGAGGAAAGGAGAAATCCCTCCTCATTTGGTTCCTCTACAGTAAACTTTATGTTGGGATCCTGTGAATTTAGGTTGAGGAGAGTCCTTTCCAACTCCGTTGACGAGGAGCCAACAATGAACACGTCGTCAATGTACCTTTTGTAGAATAATATTCCAGTTGTTAGCGACCGTCGTTCTAACCGGTCTAGATAGACTATGGCCAGCAACGGTGCTATCCGTAGTCCCATGGCCAGTCCACGTTGCTGTGCGTAGAACTTTCCATTGAACTGGAATATGTTACACTCCAGAGTTGCTTTTAGTAGGTCCCGTAGGTCTCCTTCTCCAGTCCAAAAATGAAGACATCCCTTTTGTGTTGATTCCATAGGGCTAGTAGAGCGTCAATGGCATCCTCCCGTGTTCACATTGGTGTATAGCGATACTGCATCAAAGCTGGCATAGTTAGCTCCAACTGGGATCTGACATTGGTCCAGGGAGGTGATGAAGTCATCCGTTGATAAGGTGTGCTGATACATGGTGTAAAAGTGGGGAAAACAATTTAACCAGTAGCCAACTAATCCTGTCCGAAGGTCCGCCACAGGAAGAAATAATTGGGCGGGTTCTTGATGTCCCTGCTTGTGAGACGATCCAATTCTACGTTTCCAAATTTGTGGGTCTTGACCAGAGAATAATAAGTGGGAACACTTGGAAAAGGCAGGATAAATCGTCTCACCGTGTCACCGTCCAATTTTTTACCCAATACGGTTTTGATAGTCCTTTCAAGTTGCTTGGTAGCCCTGTTAAATGATTGGAGAGAGGATTCGCTATAGGTGTTGCGATCCTCCTAGGCTGCGCTGTGATACTGCCTTGTCCATGTCCTGGGTCATGACAACAAAGTCCCCACTTTTGTCTCCAAGTGCTGTAGCGCAGCTCTCCTTTTCTTGCCATTAGTTTTCTTAGCCCCCTCCGTTCCTGTGCGGTAAGATTGGATCCAAACCTAGCCTGCCTGGCTGTTGCATATACTTCCTTGAGCTTTAATTGAAGATTTGATAGCAAAGGTTCAAGGGCAGGAATGGGTTTAGGCACAGTGCAACTATTTTTGGGAAAGGAGCGGTTGCCAGAATCGTTGACTTTCGATCCAACACCGTAGCACCCCTGTTTGTTTAAACATCGATGGAGTGGGGCACACGTCGATCCCGCAGCGTTGGGACGGCGCGGCATGTATGGCTCCCGGCCGCCGGACCATGAATTCGGGCGTCGGCAATCGTTAAGATTTTTTGTATTTTTCCTAGCTTTTGGAGGGAGAAGAGGGGAAGTGGTGGGGCGGCGAGTGCGCGCTTCAGGAGCGTCGTGGGATCAAGTCTGGGTCGTTGGTCGCCCTGGGCAACAAGGCCTTATCCTCGGGAGTCGATATTGGTGACCGCTTGCTGGAGAGAAACACTGACTTGGACGGTCAGCGCTGGCCCCGTAGTCGGTTGTTATGGCCATTATCACATACAACGCATGAAGCTGCAAAACGGAGTGATGGATTCCAAAGGGATGTTCAGGCAGTGTTTACTTTTACCCTTGGGTATTCCCATGTTTTGAGGGAATCTTTTTGGGTTCCTCTTTGCGTTTTTTTCTATGCAATTTTGTGATAGGATATGTAGATCTCCTATCTAAAAAACCAAATTCAGTGCACTCTCGAGGAATGGTGACATCGATTCCTGGGCAATTTTCAAGTGACTCACAAAGGGTGTTGGCCCTATACTTCACTGTGGCAGTGCAATGTACAAGACAATATGGGCAACGGTTCTGAACGTTCTTTGTGCGGGCCAGATTGGCAAGGGGTGGGGGTAGTTGTCAAGGTTACAGGACATCAGAAAATATCCAATGCAGGATATTTTCGTGATTCTTCTCACTATTTTTGTTCTGGAAAAATGAGTTACTGATGTAATACCCAATTGAACACTTCAAGGCTCAACGTCTGTCGAAGACAAAAAGTCACTTGAGTACTCCATCCCGGTCATTTCAGAACAACACTCAGGCAAAAAGTGGTCAAGCAGAGTTTCTCGAGTTCATAGCTTCCGAGGAATCGTTAATCAAGAATCCATAATTCAATACGATTTCCTCTGCGGTAAACGCTGAAAGCAAGCGCAAGGGGAAATCCTGAAGAGCTTGGGCTCTACGAAGAAGGCGAACCAGAAAGTTAAGAATTGTTGACACGTCTTATTTACGTGGCACATGTACCCCTTCCCTGGTCGTCTTGAGGCCCGCGTAAGCAGTAGGTGGCAAACCTTTATTCTAGCCTGCTTTTGTTTTCTGATATGAGTGATGAACAATTTCCTGAAGTTTGTTTGCTCAACCAGCAATTATGCGTTTTGGCGTTTTGGCACGCCAATGAATGCAAAATTTAGTCGCCTACGGGGGATCGAACCATGAGTACATTCACTTCTTTTTTGGTACTACTAAAACCGTTCAGCGAAAATGAAACATGGTTTTGTGGTCCATACATGCGTCCCTACAATATGCAGAAACCGTTTGAAAAAGCGCACCTTGCCCTGAAAGACCTCCTTGTTAGTGAAAGGCAAAGGTCGAAAACTTTAAATTTTTCGTTTCCTCAGCCGTCCCTAGATCAAAGTTTCCGCTTCGACATGGTTGACCATTGATAAAGCTCGATAGACACATCGAAACTTCACTATTTTCAGGTTCTTCTTCCTCCAATTACGACTCCTTATTGTGAACAAGATGACTAACTGTTTCGCCTTCGCTTATCCGAACCTCAGAATTTTCAACAAATCCACTCAATTCATACATTTTAATGGATGATAATGCTGAGTTTTTGTTATTCAATACAGATTTCTATATGTTTCTGTTATATTGGAATGATTTTGGAAAGAATAATGATGTTAGCGCTTGAACAATAAAAGAAATCGTGCACGGAAAATTCTTGCATTCCTTCCCAACATGAATAAGTCAGTTGTGAGAGAAAACTTTCAATAATTCACGCGAAAAGATCCAATTTCCGAAGAGCAACAAGTCTACGAAAATAACATTCTGGGGACGGTCGCGGTTAGGGAAGAGACAGGCTCCGTGGAAAAGCTAATCAGCGTATTGGTGAGTCCTTGAGTATAGCTTTCAAGGCAACGACTTATGAGGGACTTAGAGTAGCGCTGGACGGACGATTCCTTTGAGCACTAAATTGTGAATGTGAACCTACCCTCACGGCTCAAAGCCTCGTTGTATACAATAGTAAATGGTGGACCTGAGACATGTATCAGCCTCCTATGGCAGGGTGACCGTGTGAGGTACCAGTAGAAGGCGCATTTTACGATGAAAAGGCAGCTCGATAGAAATAAGGGTAAAGGTGGTCAGTGGTGCAGAGATGAAGGAAAAACCATGAGAATGACGGCAGAACCCAAAGTGCGATCGTCTTGCTTAGAATGTCTACACTGATGCACTCTGGTCGGTATGTTGCTGAACAACTATGAGGAATCACCAGCAGGAAGTAACCCTATGTTGCTACAAGTAGCAACGGGGGGGGGGTCGTATTTTGATGAGTTTGTAGAGGGGGGGTCGTACTTGCTTCGGTTGTAAGAAGTTGCATGTGATGAGTGGGGAGCGGCGCGGGAGAAAATTTGCGTTTCAGCGCGCGTATTCGACGGTAATTTTTTGGGGTAAAAATTGTTTCGAAGAGGGGGTCGTATGAAACATTTCATGAGGGAAGGAGGGTCGTGAAAACTTTTTGAAAAGTAGCAACGATAGGACCGACCCTGATGAGACAGCGAGAACGGGAAGCGTACCGCGTCAATAGCGCCACGGGGACGGCCATGCTGTATCGCTGGGGGGAAATACTTCGCTACGAATTCCGGTCGTTACGCACCCTCAGGGGGTTCGTCTGTTTCCACTAGGCACTTTTAGCCTTATTCGATCTTTAACCTTATCGTGAAATCCTCAGTTAACAATTTAGAAGTTGAAGCGGAGAATCCTGGACGGTCGCTTGTGTTCAATCATATCCAATATGTTCAGTGAATAATAAATTAACCACTGACGTCTTTCTTCTAATGAGAGAATAAAATGGAAAAATTTACTTGGTAAAATCTGGAAAAAGTCTCTTTCAGAAATTTTTTTCAATGACTATGGAACTACAGATACCAGTTGGTAGGCCTACTCCAAAGCAAGTTACTATATAAGAAAATGGCGCTCATGATCGTTGAGGGGGGAGGACACTCACAGCATGGTCGATGATAAGTGACATGAGACTGAGCGCAGGAAAGGAGAGCAATGCCAGGGAGAACAGATATGGATCGATCTCCCACAGATCCCTTCCCATATCAGGAGATTACCAAGTACTGTGAAGTGGCTCACTCATTGGACCCCCCCAAGGACATGAACGTCTAAGAAATAAACTAGAATGTTTTTCCTTTAGAAATATGCGCGAAACTAGCAACGTTGTCAACTTCAAACCATTCTCACCAAGAATGACGTATCTACGACCAGTGCGAATCTTCGGGCACTTGCACTGGATCGAGTAGGGTGAGATCCAGAGCGAGGTTTCGCCTCGATGTCCATGAATTCCTCTTTTGTAAATGGTCTCGATGACCACACGATATCTAGCCCAGGTGTCGACCATTTCTTTGCCAGTAACAAGTATTTGGTAAACTGAACAGAAATACTATTCTAGTGATCGCCGAAAAGAGAACTGCAAAAAAAACTTACCGTAATCTCGTTTGCAGTACTTCTTTTGATTGAGTTTTTTGGCGACAATCCTACATTTCGGACATTCTCCTGAAAATATCACAAATGTGTTGTCTTTAGCAAGAATTTTCCTCAGATGTGTCAAGCCCTTCCAAGACAGATCTTTCTCAACCGCCCCCTATATCGATTCACATAGTGATTGTGAACCCAAATAAATGACACCTTGTTCGGACGTTCCTCGGCCGCCGTTGTTGCCCTTGACCGGAAGTCCTAAATCAATCTCTTTGGGAAAACTTTCAAAAGGATCGTGCATCTTTTTCATGGAACTCTTTCATGTAGCAAAACGTACTGATGCATGGTGTGACAGTAGATCTGCTCTGTTGATAGCCCTTTGCACACCTATTACAGGTCAGTCCAGTCACTCCCAGTTTGCATACGCATTGCCCTGACACTTGATTACAACTCTTGCTGAGTGATCCGACGGGGTGACAACCGCAATCTGAAAGAAGGTGGTGTCATGTTCTTGAAAAATAAAGATGAGATGAAAGCTTTGTGTGCCCCCCGCGAACAGCGGAAGTAGTTTGCAACCATGTCCCGGCAAAGTGTGTAACTCTACGTTTTACAGACGTGTATCATTACGATCATCGATCACTGGCAATTGCCACCCGGCTGCAATTTGTCGGACGTAAGTGTCTCCAAAGGTTCGCCGTTGTTAACTATGAGTGAAATCAGCACCACCTGATCCCACTCATGACCTCTCGCATTCCGTGTTCCACTCAAGAGTCTATTACATAGCTAAGTGAGAAATGTTCGAAGCTCCAATCCAAGGCAATACAAAATATGAATATTTTACTAGATTATGAGTATTGGATGTGTAAAAGGCGACGGGTCAGTCTTGAACTAACTTTAAATGCCGTAGGTAATTTCTTCCGACATTAAGTAAACTTAGAAAAGTGAGCAAGTCAGTAGAGAGTCAATATAGCAACAATGAAATTGCTATAAGTATTGAAATTGCTCAATTCAATTATTTTTGCTATTTATGTTGCATTTTTGAAATAGAACTCGGTTGCTTCAAATTTTGAAATACATGCACAAATACAACAGTTTTTCGGATAGATGCTAAGAAAGAAGCTTTTTCAACCAAAGAAAGACGAGTGGAACGAAAAGGGCTTCCCTCCT